AGTTCATTTTTTCTCCTAAAAAAAATAAAATACAGGCGCAGAGGATTAGCAACAATAATAACACTTACATGGGAATATGATTGCACTTGATGCCATTCAACTTAAAAATGGTTGGAATGGTGAATTTTTAACTCAGCTTTCTGGTTTCTCCCAAGTATACATGTTATTAAGTTTGTTAGTTTTCCCAAAAAAACTGGCTGGATAGTCAATTTTATATTATGTGTAACCGACTACAAAATAAAAGTAATCATCATCACAAATACATGTATGTTTCCTGGGTCAAGTTCTACCTGTTATTTATTTAATCTTCAAAGCAACTCTCTGAGGAGGTATAAGTATTAGACTCCCTTCAAGAACCCTGAAACCCAAGGACAACAAAGATGAAGTAACCAAATATCACTTATTTTAAGCATGTCTTATTCCATTAAAATGAATTCAAAGTGTTAAATATATGAAAATGATAAGATATTAAATCTTCCCTGACAGTAACAGATTTAACTCTCACTGGCTTAGAAAAAAGTTGTCATAGATTCCAGATAGGATCTTTTAATTCAAAAGAAAAATATTACAGCAAGAATTAACTGTTTTATTAGCAAGGACATAGTTTACATTCAGGTGCTGACTGAACTGGGCATCAATTCCAGCCTCCCAATACAAAATCTCTGTGGTAGTACTTTCTGCTTGCTAAGATACTTTATTCCTGTGCCTACTGACATACTCAAAATTACATGACAAGGAATTCTGCTCCTCTTAGGACTGAAAAAGCTACAAGAGAAAAATCACTCCTACTCTAGCAACAAGAAAAAGAACCAATAACTGACAAAATCATAACTCTTCTTGAACCCACCAGGAAGCTGAAGGTACAAGACGATTGGGTGAACTAAATTTGAGAGTGTTAAGCCCCTGTGAAGAAAAATGAACTGTTTCATCTGTGGCAGAGTGCAGGAGGAAGAAAGGTCTGCCACTGTAAAAGAGGGTAAGGATAAAACTGAAATTTTTACAAGTTCTTAAAGGCTAAGCTCATGCTAAGGGGATGCAAATTCTGACTGCTTAGTTTCCAGATCCAAGAAGAGTGCACAATCATTCTCCAGTTCTTCTGTGTTCCTCAAATGACTGCTCAAAAGAAAGACTGGGCATGGAATGACATCTGAGAGAGCGTGCACACGAAACCGTGCCTCCATCTTCTTCCTTCTCTCACGTGAAGCAAAAGTCTAAGTATGGGAGCAGAAGGGGTGAAAACTCCACTACTTCTGGGAGACAGTGGCAGTAAAAACCTTCTACTATGGGTACAGCACAGGAAGTTCTCTCTCTACTCCCAGGCAAAGGCTACTGATCACCTCAGATGGAAATTTAGATCTTCATAAACAAACGAAGATAATCAAACAGGAAGAATTAGGGTAACTGTGAAACTATTTTTCTGATTTTTAATCATTTTAAAAGATAATTGACTAAAAACAGCAGCAATGCATTTTAGAATTTATAACATAAGCAAAGATTAAATTTAAGACAACAGCATAAAGTATAGGAGGAAAGAAATAAAAGTATACTAATGTAAGGCTGTTATTGTACATATGAAGTAGCATAGTGTTACTTGAAGTTTCACTTTGTATATAAATAATAAATCTTAGTAGAACTTCTGAAACAAAAAGAGGTACAATATACAACTAGTTGTGTTAAAGTAGAATCATAAAAATATTCCATGCAAACAAAAAGAGAAATGAAACAAAGAACAAACAGGAGCAATAAATGACAAAGAGCAAGATGGAAGATTTAAGTCCAATTTTGCCATTAATTACATTACATTAAAAAATTATATTAAAATTAATATAAAACAGTCTACAAGTTACAAATATAAGACAGTGACGGCCGTATTAACCTTGGATTTTTAAGTAGATCAAAAAATATGCCATCGAAAAGAACCACTTATTAAAAGTAAAAGGGGAAAACTAAGCAAGTACTACTCAAAGGAAAGCTGAAATGATTATACTGGAATTATTAAAGGCAAAGTAAATTTCAGTATAAGGAATATTACCCTGGATAAAGAAGCACATACAATAATGATAAACAATTAAAATTTATCAAGACATAACAGCACTAAAAGTGAAGGCACACATTTCTAAGTAATATGTAAGTTAAAAAAAATACACAGACTAATATTTTTAATAGAGTAAAAATAAAGCCCTAACTGAGCAAAAATTTTATCACAAGCTAAAGCAGTGCTTTGAGGAATATTTATAGCATTAAATGATTGTAGTAGAAAACAGAAGATACATCTACCATCTACTGTTTCTCTTTAGTAGAAAAAGGACAGATAAAATCTAAATTAAAGAGAAGAGATAATAAAAACGAGTTGGAATCAATAAACAGGAAAGAGAAAAAAAATCAATAAAAACAGTTAAGTCTGAAGTTGATCCTTTAAGAGGTAATAAAATGGATAATCTCTAGCCAAACTGGTAAAGAAAAATGAAAAGAAGATACTAGTTACTAGTATGAGGAATGAAAGAGATTATCACTTTATTTCCTACAAATATCAAGATGGCTGCAAAAACTTTATGCTAATAAATTTGATAACTTGAATAAAATTAAAAAACTAAAAGATAAACACTACCAAAGCTCATTCAAGAAACAAGTAGCCTAAAGACACCTTCATCTGTCAGGGAAATTAAACACATTTTTTCCAAAGAGGCAGCAGACCTCTCCTGCCTGAGGCCTCATATTAAAATGGTTCTTCCTTCTCTCAAAAGCTGGTGAGAAGGTTTCTGGCCCACATTTGGAGTCATTACTCTCAGGCTCACCCACCTACACCCCCTGGCATCCAGAATAAGGAGGAAGCCAAGTAAAGTGAGCCTTGCTCTGGGCTCTTTACACAAAGCCTCCAAATTCCTTATTTTAAGAGACTACATGTAAAATCCTGCAGATCCATCTGCTCACACCTGCTCAGCTATTGGCTTAAGTCAGAGTTAAAATGAGACTGATACCTAGAAAGGATGGGAAAAGCGAAGCCATGGAGGAAGATGCAGGTGATAAACAGACCTCAAAGTAGAGGTGAGAGCCTGGTAAGGAAAAGTTTTCTACTACAGTTGACAGTGTCTCCAGGTCTAACACCATTGATGGCCTTTGTCTGAAACTGACAAAGGGTTAAAACAACAGGCTGAACAAGCAGCAAGAAATGAACAACCTAACGCCTTGTTCCACATGCCCGGGGAGGCAGCACACAAAACAGTGAAGAACAGTGTGTGGAGTTAGACCTGAGCTTAAACCCCATCTCTGCTACTGACAAGCTGTGGTCCTTCCTCAAGGTACTACATTTGTCTTACAGACAAATTGTCTGTAAGACAATAATTTTTTTCTTTTTTATATTTTCAAAGGACAGTTTTATTAGGAAAAGGGGAAAAAACAGAAGCACGTGCACAGTAACCAGCAGACAGGAGAGTTTAACAATAAAAATATTTAACCGATAGTGTTTTATGATAATCACCTGAGAATTGTAAAACAACAGTTGTAACTCTAACCTATACTGTAAACAATTAAGAAAGAGTCGCAGTTACCATTTTCATCTGTAGTAGGACTAGAAGTTAGCGGTAGTGGCAGCTTGCTCACTTATTTCTTTAGCTTGGGCTAAGGGAGTGGAAGTTTGCTCTAGAGATCCAAAGAATGTGAAACAATAAACTACAGTTTTGCAGGTAAAAAGGGAGGGAAATGAAACTTTATTTCTTGAAAGCACTTTTTTGTTCTTAAGAATCAAAGGGTTATGGGGCCTCCCTGGTGGCCTAGGGGTTGAATCTCAGCGTTATTACCGCTATGACCTGAGTTCAATCCCCAGCCAGGGAACAACCCACATATGGCACAGCAGACCTCTCCTGTCTCACCTGCTGCTCCCCTCAGCAGTGTTTTAGTAAATCTTCCAGTTCTGCTCCCCACTCTGTCTCTGGTGAATCCTCTCATCACCACCACCACCACCACCACCACCACCACGGCGGCATCTCTGGCCTACACCCCAGTTCTTCTATGCAAAGAAAAAGTAAGCAAGCATCATGATCAGCCAATTTTTTGCTGACAGAGCATGGAAGAAAAGAACTGCACAGGGGCCTCCCTGGTGGCACAGCGGGTTGAGCGCAGCACTGTGAAGCTGTCCACAGTCTCTGTAGCATGGGTTCAATTCCCGCCCAGCCAGGGAGATTCCCACATGGCATGGCAGACCTCTCCTGTCTCGCCTGCTGCTCCCCTCAGCAGTGCTTTTGGTCGGTCTGCCTGTTCTGCTCCCCACTCTGTCTCTGGTGAATCCTCTCACCCTCCTATGCCTCTGGCCTGCACCCCGGTTCTTGTATAAATAAAAAATAAATCTTTTTAAAAAAAGAAAAAAGAAGTGTACTGTGCTCAAAGCAAAGTAAGCACTACATTGGCTGTTACGTTCAAGAGCTAGCCTGAAAGTCTAAGGAAGGCTCTGACCAGATACCCTTTCAATAATACCCTATTAACACAGGATGCTAACCCTGCCCCTTTGAGGAAGGCAAAACAGTCAGACATCCTTGGAGACCAGCCAACCACAACACATAAAATCCACAGGTCGCCTAAGAAAGAGGAATTCCTCCAACACGAACAGCCTTCATTCTGTAAATCCCAAAGCACTATGATGAAGCATAAATGCCCATGTACATGATCTGCCCACATACACCATAAAAGAGAGACAGGGACACATGAATGGGATTGTCTCGTGGCCCGTGTGAGTTAATTCCCAGATGTGTGGAAGTTTTGACGGAGGGACTGAGAGAGTAAAAGGAAGGAGAATAATGCAGAAATACATTTTAAGAAAACAAGAAAATGGAAAAGGAAAACAGGATGGTGGAGTTGGGAGAGAGGAGGTGGTCAAGGTAAGCAACAGGTTTAAAAGCTTTAAAGCAGGAGGAGTCCAGAGATGCCACGGGTCTCTGTGTACAAGAGAAGGAGGCACAGAGGCTGCAAGATTCTTCAAGTGCACAAAACAAGAGAATTTTACTCACTAAGAATCTGAGATGTCACAGGAAGAATCTCTCTGCTCATCAACAAAGCCTGGGGTCCAGAGAGAAAGAGCTTTGCTTTCTTCCTTATCAAGGTGCTAAGACTGACTGCTTGAAGGAGACCTGAAAGATGTTAGGAGAGGATCAGAACACGCAAAGGGCGGAGATTAAAGGGTAATACAGAAAAACGGTCTGTTTAGAATCTGATGGACCAACTAAGCTGCATTACACTAATTTAAATGTCACTGTTGATTTGTGATCGACACAGTTCATTTTCCTTACTCACAGCAGCTATGTCCCATCAGTTATGAATTAGTGAATATGGAATCACTGCTCCTAAAGGTAGTACAAATTTAGGTCCCTGCAAGCTTCTGGCCACAATATTTTCAGCAACCGATCAATGTGTAAACCTTGTTTTAAGTGTTTCTGTTTAAAGCTGCCTTATTTTTTTTTTTTTCATTTACTAACACGGCCCCCACGACTGATCTAACTCACTCACCAGTGCAGCTCATCTAACACATGATATTTTCTCCATAAAGCACATCAGAGGGGCCTCCCTAGTGGTACAAGGTGTTAAGTCTGAGCCAGCCACTGCAGCAGTTCCATCCCTGGCCCAGGGACAGTTCCATTCCCCACCAGGGAGCTGACCCATAGGGCGCAGCAGACCTCTCCTGTCTTGCTGGCTGGCTGCTCCCCTCAGCAGTGTATTTCAGCCTATCTGCCTGTTCTGCACCTCACTCTGTCTCTGGTGAATCCTCTCACCCTCCCGCACCACTGGCCTATACTCCAGCTCTTGTACACATAAATTAAAAAAGCTTTTACAAAAAAAAAAAAAAAAAAAAGCATATCACAGCCTCGAGCCCTGGAACACCATGCAGATCTTCAGGACTATGGGCAGAGGTCATGTTAAACAGCGAAACCACCAGTAGCAATACAAAAATGTCAAAAATAGGGCATTAGAAGACTGACAAAAGGGGGGCCTCCCCGGTGGCGCAGCGGTTGAGCGCTGGGTTGCGAAGCTGCCCGCAGCCTCTGCAGCACCAGTTCGATCCCCGGCTGCTCCCCAGCCACCGGAGGAGGGTCCCACATGGCGCGCAGACCTCTCCTGCCGCCTGCTGCCCCCCTCAGCAGTGTGCTTCGGTCCTTCTGCCTGCTCTGCTCCCCGCTCTGGCTCTGGTGAATTCTCTCACCCTCCCGCGCTTCTGACTGTACCCAGTGCTTGTATAAATAAATAAATAAATCTTTGGAGGAAAAAAAAAAAAAGACTGCCAAAAAGACTTTTGGTTACAATACAAGAGCAGAAACAATTCAAAGGCAGAGTGTCTTGTTCAAGCCCAGCCAGGAGCGTGCCTGTCGAGCAAATCAAATCTTCTGCCACTCTATGCCTGTCACTGACTGACCATAAAATACCACAAGTATTGACTTGGGGTTATAAACAGTTATTAGCAAGTAGGCAAATTCACATGACAGACTCCATGAATAATGAGAATCAGCCATATCACAGATCCAGAATACGCCTTATACGTTCGTGAGGCCGTGGCTTGGTCTGTGCAGAGATGAAGCAGGGGAAAGGCCACAAGCCCAAGAACATAATGGCTGGAGAAGGAACCCCAGTACCTTCGATTAAGGAGGCAGAAAGTTCACTCATTAAAAACTTCCAGGGAGCCTGCTGTTTGACAATTAATTTAGGAGGACTACTTCCTTCCTATACGCATACACATAATATAATATAATATATATTCACATCACACGTATACATGTGTATATGTTTGTGTGTGAAGCCGCTCTCCACCCACTTAAACTTCATACCAGACGCTATTTTCTTTATGGAAACTTTTCAAATTTCTTCCAACAGAATTGACTAAAAATTTGGGAGCTTTCTTGGAGCTCCCTATTGGCCTTGGAATTTGCATGTCAGGTTTCACTTGGTATTAGAATTATTCCTCAGTTAATTTTGGTCACTTTTTACTAGGTTCCTCTAACTTTTGGAAAGTCTGGTCAGTCTGGTTTGACTGTATGTAAGTAAATTCGGATGTCTGTGTGTGTATGCATAAGTAATCAGTAAATAGTATCATATACAGATGTGAAACTTGAGGGGAAAGTCGGTAGAAAGGGATAAAAGTAGATGATGAGTTAGGCTTTAGACAGATAAATTTTAAAATGAAAGAAAGATAAATGGTCCTGAATTGGAAATGAAGATGGAATTAGAAATATAAATGGAGTCACTTCCAGGGAGGTGGGAAGAAAAGGTGGAGGGGAAGAGGAGACAATCAGGACGAGGAGTCGGGAGTCTAGCTGTACTGAAGAAGGAGAATTAACAAAGAAAACAGTTAAGGATTGCTCAGCACCAGGGATTTTCCATTAGACAAAGTTTTTGATTATTATTATTATTATTTCACTTTACACTCAAAGGTAAGCCCTTCAGTTATTCCTCTTCACAAACAAAAAACAAGAGCTGATTTCCTTTGCGCCTACAGAACAGAACAGTGAGACGTTATTACGATCCATCAATTCAGTTTCGTGACACAGAATACGTGGCTGGAATGCATTCTGTGTGACACTGGAACTTGCTCTGCCACGTGTCATCGTTACATATAAGTTTAGCAGAATGATATTTCCTTTTAAATATCACTTAAGATGACTCAATTATGGGAGGAGGAGAGGACCCTTTAGTAATAGTGTTGTTGAATATTGGAATGAAAATCCTTGAGCTCCCTGTCTTATGAAATAAGTCTTTTTGTGTGCATAAAATGTAGTTCAACATTAAGCATTTTATACAAAACGGGGGACAAATCCCAGAGTAATCTTCATACAAAGTTATTTTAGGTGCCTAATGCCTGTAAAATTATAGTTGTGTCTTGTCCCAAAGTTGAGAGTCTTTCAACATTTTCATCATAAACCCCGTTTTTCAGGGGCTTATAATTCAACTACAGAAATTTGCTTCGGGCTGAAACTCGGAATACCCAATTTCAATCTGATCTAGTTATAACCAGTTGAAATAAAGACAAAAAACTCTGCATTACATCTTACTCATTTGGTGATCTGTAGTTTTAAGTTCAAAGGAACATTTACAGATATCTCTACCAATTTCTCATTTTTCAAAAATCGTTATCTTTGAAAGTTTTGATATGTAGCAAAAAGGATAAAAAGAAAATTTAATGAGTAATTAGTGTCTCAGGAGAAGGATAAAGAGGTGTTGAATCTTTCACAGCCAACTCACCCTCCAAAATCCAGGTAAGGTCAGTAGATATTGAAACTCATTATAACACAATGACATTTATTTTGTGAAGAGCTTCTACTGAATGAGAACAGAATACCTAATTGAGGCCCATAACACAGAAAGACACGGAAAATTTCAACCATAAATATTTCACTGCACAATGAGGTAATATTCTAGGTGTTTTTTTAATGTAAAAGAAAAACTAATCTGAAATGACAATAGTTCACATTCAAATATCTGTTTCTTTACACTGTTAAGAAGCTATACTTCCCTTATGAGAAGATTTCTCAGGTTACTAGATGTAAGATATTTAAATATAAATAAATATAAAGGATGGTTTAAATATCGGATCCTTGAAAAGAAATACAGAGCACCTGTTAACCACCTAAATGTCAGTAGACTCTTTAGCACGAAAATTACTATTTGAAAAGATGAAGGACGATACACCTGGTTGTGGCTAGCTCTACATGCTGTTGTTACATGCCATCCATTGATTTACACACCGCCCAGTGTCTCCCAGCTCTGCACACGCCATCTTCACAGGCCACACTTACCAGCTCTGCTACTAACACCAACTAAACCTGTGCCCCCAGGGCGCATATGGTGTCTCCTCTGTCCGGCAAACAGCAGGGGCCCAAATCTGCTCCTTCTTGGTGCTGCACTTCCTCCCTCCGACCCCCTGTCAAGCACACCCACGCCCTTTACCCAGTCTTCAAACACAATGTGACCCCTGCACTCCTGTCTTCCACAATGAATCTGGGTCAGATCTGCCAGGTTTAAGGACAAGATACAAGAAAGAAGATGAGGCTTGAGAGCCTAGGTGTGTAAAGTGACAGGTAGGAAGTCGTTGTTGAAAGGTAACAAGATGAAAACCAGTCCCATTTTCATCTTCCGTTTGCTACTAGCCAGCTGATCCTGACCTGTCGGAGCCCAAGTTTCCCTACGCACAAAATAAAAACACTGGAAAAGATGATTTTTAAGATCCTTTCTAGCTCAAAAGTTTTTGAATTCTTGTGGAGAGAAGTATTTAGTCCAGTTAGGTAAAAGTCTCTGTAATTTAGCCCAGTAAAACTCACCCAGATAGTTTTTCCCCCCACGCGCATTTTACCATCCTGACAACACAGGATAATGTGTGGGGAAGGTCGGACTTGCTACCGAAGCTTCAAGCTCAGGAATGTGCGCGTGTGGAGCTATGAGAGGACCCCCGTCCCAGCCATAGGCAGCTGACCCTGTGACCGCTGCTTGCCTGCCTGCCAGGCCAAATCCATAGGAGAAAATGAGGACGGAGATCCCTTGCTGAAATCCCTCATTCTGGTAGATTTGAAACTAACCCATTGGAAAATCCAGTGGCTTTTGTGGGTTAGCTATGTATGTGAAATGCAAGCTTGTTAAGAACTTAAACCAATATTCATAATTTGATGTCAGCCAGACTCCTCCTCCTCATTCTCCAGCGAAGCACGATGGAAGAAGAGTTATAAAGATGAGAGAAGGGAGAAAAGGAAGTAGGTAAGTCTGAGCTGATCTTCAGCTCATTGTAAAAATGCACAAAGCATTTTAGAGTGCTAGAGTCTGAGGGCGCTGAGAGAATATGGCCACTTCATGTGTGTGTCCCAGCAGGTCTCCAACTTAAAGGAGGGTAAAAAAATTAAGACACAAAATTAAAATACATCCAGACCTTTCCCATGCTCTGGATCTGGCCAGACGGCACCCCTGTGGGAATCTGTTCTGCTCTGCTTTTCAGAGTAGGAACCACGATCCTGCTCTGACCCTCCCGAAATACTACGGTAGACTGGGGGTGCCCCTTCACACCCAGGGGCAAGGGGGTGTCCTAAAGAGCTGCAACAATTCCAAACTTGAGACCAAAGCTCAGAGACCACAGGAAAGTGTAAGGATCAGGCATTTTCAAAAAGCGGGAGGACCAC